GCGTCATCATTATGTGGAACAGCATCATTTCATGCGCACCGAGGCATTACCCAAGGCCAGTTTCAATGTGAATCCCTATCGGCTGTCCAATAAAAAGCTATTTCGTGGCGGCCGCTTGGAGCCGGCAATACCACCGCCAACGGTGGTCAGTGCACTGAAACGTGATGCACAAGATGCTCAGATCCGTTTGGCGGATTACAATAAGGAGTATCGCAACTATTGTGAGCTGGGACGTGAATTTACGCAACGCAATTTGCATGGCACACTGCGCACCCTGCTCCAGGTGGAGGATATTGAGCGGCTGCAGTGCTATGTGGCACTCAAGCAATCCAAAATGGAGTTGCATCAGTTTGGCAAAGAGTTGTCCGTTAAGTTGCAGCCAAATTCGAGAAATTTAAGCGCCGAGGATGTCCTGTCGCCCGGCGACGATGTATTAATTATTAATGAACGCTGCACAAACGGCGGTCAGCCAGAATCGGGCAAGGCGAACAGCATACGCCAGCTGCTGGATAATAATACTCTGGTATTGGAGTTGGCGCTGAAGGATTTCGATACGCTTGTCCAATGGGGCCATAAGATAAACGAGCAGTTTGGCGTACCGGAAAAGGAGCGTCGTGAGCCGCGCGTTTATTTTGCCCGCATCCTGGGCGTATCGACGCAGCGCGTCAATATTACCTGCGATCGTCATCTGCCAGATAATACCACATATGCTCTACTCTTTCGGCCAGTCCGCGCCGTTTTACGCTACCAATATCGTGCGCTCCATCAGCTAAAGCTGACCAATGCGGAGCATGTGCAGCGTCTGCTCTTTCCCGCTACGATTAACAGACAGCCGGTGGCTAATGGCGCTCTGTGCCTACATAATGAGCATATTGGTCGTAATCCGGAGCAACAGCAGGCGGTGCAACAAATTGCATTTTCAGATAGGCTGCCAGCCCCCTACATTGTGTTTGGTCCGCCCGGTACGGGCAAAACGGCAACAATTTGTGAGGCCATCTATCAGTTGTATGTGCGTCGACCAGAGACCCATATTTTGGTGCTGGCCGGCTCGAATACGGCCTGCGATGAGATAGCATTGCGTCTATTGCGTTCCATATCCAAGGTGCCCAGTCAGGCGCGTCCGTTGACGCGCATCTTTGCCGCCAGCTGTGATCGTCGCATCGATAATATTGATGATCTGTTGTTGGAATACTCGAATATGTATGCCCTACACTTTTATCCCGATGTGCAGGCAGTCCACGACTATCGCATTGTGGTGTGTACCCTCAGTTTGGCGGGCAAACTATCAACGGGTGGCTTCGGCCGTGACGAGGACAAACGCAGCGTATTCTCTCATGTATTCGTGGATGAGGCGGCCGCCTCAACAGAAGCTGAGGTGCTTATGGGCATAACCTGTACCATAGCGCCATCTACGAATCTAATCCTATCTGGCGATCATAAGCAATTGGGACCGGTACTGCAATCGCAGCGTGCCGGAGATTGGGGACTGGGCGTTTCGCTATTCGAGCGTCTCTTGCAGCGTGAGTGCTACCGCTTGGACGAGAATGGTGATTACAATGCAGCCGTACAGACACGATTGCGACGTAACTATCGTTCCCATCCCGAAATTGTCTCGCTCTACAGTGATCTCTACTACAATAGCGAATTGAAATCGGAGGCGGCACTAGGTGAGTCAATGTAATGCATACATCCAATACGAATTTAAGTTTGATATGAAGAGGGCTCAGAGATAAAAATTTTAATAAATTAGTTCATCAAATAAGTCGATCTATTGGCCTGCTCTACTCGGATAATGTCTATTCAAGGAAAGATTTTGGGTCTATAAGATTTATATATATTATCTATTTGGTATATTGGCTTTGCTGAGTAAAAATGTGTATACAGCGAAATGTATATGTCCGATTCACAAAAGTGGCTTGAGTATGGCCTGGCTTAATGTCCCTCCCAAGAGGGTTGTCCGTCTAATTGGTGCGTCCGTTGGGATTGCTTTTTATTGTACCTTAAATGTGGTTGGAGATGCCTCCTTTCTACATTTGCACTTAACTAGCATACTCTTTATTGCCCATTACAAAGTTTCTTACTGTTAAAATTTACTTTATTTTATTTTCATTATAGGAAATGTATGCCTTGCTAGAAACTGGTTTCATACGCCCAACGAACATTTTCCCATAATGTTTCACTCGGTTTTTGGCACGACCATGAACTCCCAAAGTTCGCTAAGGTACGTATTTGGTCATACGATTCACATGCTAATGCAATAGTTTATCATATTCGATTCTGATCGCAGCCTCTGCAACAATAAGGAAATAGATGCAGTTATGGACTATGTAAAGGATTTGATGTACTTTGGCATCAATGGTGAGAAGCTGGCCCAAACGGATATTGGCATTATATCGCCATATAAGAATCAGTATCAGCGCATCCAGGAGCAGCTCAACATGCGCAACTGGCATCAAATCGATTGTGGCTCTGTTGAACTGTTCCAAGGCAAGGAGAAGCAAATTATAATTGTTTCTTTTGTGCGCTCATTTACGGAAAAGTTGGGCTTCCTTAATAATAGTCGCGTAAGTGGGAATATCAATGAAGTGTAAGCTGAAGTCTAATCTAAAATCTCTTGCAGCGTTTGAACGTTTTACTATCACGTCCCATGTCCTTGCTTATCTTAATTGGTAATCCGCGCACGCTAAGCAAAAATCAGGAATTTCGTCATATCATCGACATGTGCCGGGATCGCAAAACGCTCGTCGGTTCGCCCTATTATCCGGATGATAATAAGACGAACGAGGCGAACGGTTCGGCCACTCCATCTGTAAATCTAATGCGTTCTGGCTGTAATAATAATCGCCAACAGCCAACAGATGCAACACATGAGGACGCGCAGACATTGGGACAGACATTCAAGCGAAGTAATAATCGTTGTCATAATTATCAATATCATCACCAAAGAAACCAAAGAAATCATGACAGCGATCATAAATGCCTATATACAAATGCTTATGCTGGATCTTTAGCATTTCGAATGATCCCATAATATGGATAAGCGAGAGTGGATCAAACACTATCGATCTAGATTGTCCATAGCGCATACGTTTTAGAAGTTTTCAAGATCGACGTACACATTTCAAATACGTCATATATTCACATCCTTTATATATATATATATATATATTTATGTATATATATATATGTATATATATACATATATATGTATACATACATCATATATGCATTACATGACATGAGGCGCCCCGGCTTTAGTTGTTGGCGTAAAACAATTGACTGCCGTTTTTAAGCATCCAAGTCCAAGTTCGCCAGCAAGTCAGATAAAAGAGAAGCAATTGCAGATTCAATTGTAATACACCCAATACCTACCGTCCATGTTTATAATAAATTGGCATTCGCATCTTTTGATCATGCTCGTGATATAAGCATTTGGCTAACTAATTAGTCACACACTGATCCTGATGCACACATTTCTCTGGTTTTATTTTATTTTATTTTTTTTTTCGCTTTTCACATTCATAAAATATTTCTTATATATTTCGTATGTATTTCATATTATATTTTTTTTTATATATTCAGCTAACATACACAACAAGGTTCCCTTATCTGCGGCCACAAAGACTGGCTACAGTAAGGCTGAGCTGCTAAAACTGAGCGGCCAGGCTCAGCAGGCTAAAAAATCGGACCTGGACAAGCTGTTCGACGAGCTGCCCAGCGTACCGCGTTATGTGGACAATGATTCCGCTACAGTGCGCTCCATTAAAGCAGACATGCAGCGTTTATCCGTTAATGAGCAGCCCAAAGCTGTGGCGTCTACTTCCGCCAGCCAACCGGCAACAACTGTTTTTGGTCTCAGCGCCAGTATTCATCACAACAATTCGACAGCTCGTACAGTCACTTCAGTAACTGTGGCCCATGAGGCGCTTGAGTTACCATATGCGCCCAGTGCACCGCCGGACAGTCCAGGTCTGCGACGCAGCACTCAGTACAGCTACATTCCCACGGGTTATATGCGCTTTGAGAGCGCCCAACAGTCGCCCACGGTACTCGACGATGAAACGCGGTCAAGTCCACGAAGATTAGCCGATGAATACAAACGACCACCACCATTCTATGGCCAAAGCACGTCCTGGCAAAGTACGGCTCCAAGGCCGTCGCCAAGACCGGAGCCTAAGCCAGAGAAGAAGAAGAGCACTTGTGTTATATCATAATTGCGATTATTAATGTAGCTTCTAGTTACAAAAATTTACGAGGACTACATCGGGATAATTGTGTCCCGGTGTTAGCCTCTTTTGACCTTTGCTGTTTGTGGCATATTGCAAATGGAAGTAGTCACAACTAGACTGCTGCACTTGCAACATGTTCCAAGCAGCAAAATAAAAATAGCAAATTCGCATCGGCTGTATTAAAATGCAGCACATTAAAAGTTTGCTTTAATGCATCGGCTGCGAGTTTGGATGATATTTTATATATATATTTTTGTATTTAACATCCTATACATGCGTGTGTAAATCCCCGAGATTTGCTCAACTTATTGAACATGTATGTGATGCTAAAAAAGACATTAAATTTGATTTACAAATTTCGATTTTTATCATAAAAATTTCGAAATTTAAAATACATCCATTAAAAAGGGTGTTTGGACTGCGTTGAATTTGTGCAGAGCTCATACGCTGCCTGATTTTGATTTAATATATTTTGTATCTTCAATTTAAAATGAGAAGTGTGAAAATTATGTAAACCGCAAGTTAAAAAGAATTTTAAATATTTTTATATTTTCCAAATGTTAACCGAAATCAATAATAAACTATATACTTATTGGACAAGCATCAAAACACGCCGTTGCATTGTTATACGGTCATTATATTAATTGGTAAATTCTGTAATGAGATTGCCATAGCTTTCCATTTTTAAATAACAAAGTTGGCTTTACAAGTTTTTAACTAAATAAAAAACAACAGATTTTTATTTCGTTGCATGAAAGCTCAAGTCACATTTTTTTTTAATATTGTAAATAGTTCAAGTATTCAAGAATTCCAGTAAATTACCGTGACTCTTTAAAATTAAAAAAACAGTGAAGCAACTACATTAACAGTATCAAGCGTTATTCAACGAATTAGCAAAGATTGTGCGCCTAACGATCGATATTAACATCTGCAGTATGAGTGCGCGCGGCAAATTGGCCTTGCCCATGGTCATGCCCAATCCAGCAAGTAGTTTTAATCGCAGCTTAGCAGAAGCGCCACGAGGCACCAGATTGGCGACGCCGCTATCATCACACAGGACCGGAGCAGGTAGACGCACCGGCGGCGATGGCGATGGTGGCACCGCTGGCTGGAAGACAACAGATGTGACGACCACAAGCCGGCTGACACTCACGGCACGGCTGGAGAAACCGACAATTGCCTCGACACTGCGTGCGGCCAGCAATCGGAGTAAGGTAATGGCCCAAAAGGTGGCAACTCCTCGCAAGCAACGAGCACCAATTGGTGGCGACAAGAAAGGTCCGGATCGATTGGTGTTGGGCCCCATATCGAAACAGGGTCCGCAACAAGGAAGAAAGGCAGCGGGCGGTGGTGCGCCGCTGAAGAAGGAAGTCCAAGTAGATGTTCCGTACGAGGCCAGGCTGGAGAAGCAGCAATTGCTGGAGATGGGCGTGCAGACCAATGAGGCGGAAATACTTAACCGTGAACTGCTCGTTGGAGATATTAAGCTCCTGTTGCCATCACCGCAGCTGGCCAAACAAATTGACAGGGCACGCGCGGAGAGTAAGAAAAAATTTGATCGCCAAGCGTTACGTCAATTTTCATCGCACGAGCAGGATGAGGAACAGCATTTGGATGAGCTCAAACAATTCATGGAGCGCAGCTATGTGACCAGGCGTATACCCAAGAAACCGCCAATGCCCGTGCTGTCCAACTTTGAGCCAACCCGATATAATACTGTATTCAAGTCAATGGATGAGTTCTTTACACGCGACGTACCGAAGGCGGAGTCCATCACAAACATAAAGGAGCGCATCAGGCGTAAGGAAGTGGAACTTATGAGCATGTTCGATGATGTAGAAGTTAGTGAAAAGGCCGAATCCGAGTCCGAAGGCGATTAAATCAGATCTCTTGTATGTCAATTAGATGAAAATGACATGTTGAAACACATAAAAAATTTAAGTTAAATGTATTTGTGTTTTTATTTATATAGTAAATTTCTTTTAAATAGGAGTTAATTCAGGGCTTAAACAAAAACCTGGATTTATAGTTGTGGGAAACCAAGTATACAAATCATCCTTGCTCAGAAACCTTTGGTTAGCTCCGGATTACATGTTCTTTAAATAAAAACACAATACAATTTAATCCAAAAGCTTGCTGGGAATATATCCTTTTAAAAATGCGCGCTAACAATTTATGTGAATAAATCGATTATCGATTATAAATTGTAGAGTTGAGTTCAGGGTCGTTAATTTTTTAATTTTGAACTACAGCTGTTTAGCTCCGCAGCTGGTGTGTACACACTGTTTGCCACTTGGCTTACCGGTCGCATTTGACAAATATTTAATTTTTTTTTAAAAACGGGCTAGTCGGTCTTTTAAATGTCAAGTCATATTTAGGGAGTCTCTAAACGACTCCATATTCACACAAGGACACGTCTGAAAAAAAATATTGTTGTGCGCTACGAATGTTGTAAGCGTAGGCCAACATATTTTATATATTCTAACTGCTACTACTACAACTACAAAACATATACATATATAGGTGAGTAAGTGAAGCATTTTGAATATGTTGTGAATCACATGCCTACCGACTCCACCCAGCCATCAGCAGCAAAGATGACACTGAAGGTGACAAAGCTGGCGCTTTCGAGTCGCCTTATAATTTTGGCCGTTCAAATGCTGGCCAACTGGATTGTGCCAGATCATAAGCCGGATGTGTTTCGTATGCCAATGCCCTCACCGAATGCTACAAATCCCGACCACTACCTGGACAAGCTGGTTATGCGCTGCTTGGGCGGCTTGCGGCACTGGGATGGTGAATACTTTCTGCACATTGCCAACTATTTGTACACGTATGAGAATACTCTGGCATTCTATCCATTATATCCGGTGCTTTTGCGCAACTTGGCCGCAGCTTTGGAGACTTTCAATGTGCCCATTTCGATGCATGCGCTTACTTTGGTCGTCGCTGTCGCCTTGAATGTGTGGCTCTTCTGCGAGGCTGCCAATTATCTGTACCAGCTGACGCAGCGCGTCTTCAATGATCTGCACAAGAGTTGGAATGCAGCGCTCGTATTTTGCTTCAATCCGGCTAGCATTTTCTTCAGTGCCACCTACTCCGAATCGCTGTTTACCTACGCCAGCTTTATCCTGATGCTGGAATGCGTGCGGGCCAAGCAACAATTCAATTTTATGCGTATTTGCGCCAGCTTGACCGCTTGCATTATGTGCCGCTCCAATGGACTGATTGCCCTGGGCTTTCCCTTGTATTTTTTTGCGCGCCACATTCTATTGACGGCGAACGTGAAGCGGTGCCAACAGGTGATCAAGATGGCGCTGGCCGTGTTTATACCGTTGGCCATATTGCATGCCTATTACTTTTACATATATCGACTCTACTGTATGCCCGGCATCAAGGTAAAACATCCGCAGCAGGTGCTGCAGTATGCCAGCGAACGCAACTATCTGCTTGCCGGTCGGGGACCGAAGGGATCGCCCTGGTGCCAATATACGTTGCCATTCCCCTACAGTTATGTGCAGTCCACCTATTGGGATGTGGGCTTCTTGCGTTACTATCAATGGAAGCAGCTGCCCAATTTTCTACTAGCAATGCCCATGCTGGTGTTTATGCAGTGGCATTGCTGTGATTATTTGTGGTTTCTGGCCACTAAGATTTGGCCGCAGGTGGCCAGCTGGCGGGAGCCACTCAAGTCACAAAAATCGCTGCCATTCGTGCTGCACGGTGCGTTCTTGACGCTCGTCTGTGCTCTCTTCGTTCACATTCAGGTGTCCACGCGTTTGCTGGCCTCGGCCACGCCCATTTTCTATTGGTTTGCTGCAGATCATATGCCCAAATCGCTGGCGCAGCTTTCGCTGCGCTCGAAGGCGGGCGCCCTGTTTATCTGGTGCACCACATACTGTGCTTGCGGTACCGTCCTCTTCTGCAATAACTTTCCCTGGACTTGAACTCGAAAGTGGAATTCGTACGCCATGAACATATGTATAGAAGCTATTGGTTGCCAAAGAGACTGCATTAGGATTGGATTAGTTTGTAGTTATTGTTTATAGCCGATGTTGACCACCAGAAAATCAAAAGCAATTGTCATTTGCTTGCAAATTAAATTAAATAAATGTTTTAAACCGATTCTTGCGCGCTTCTGTCGATATCTTTGTATAATGTCGCTGATAACGTTGCGGATTATCTAAATGTATCGAATTGCTAATGGGCAAAATTATCGATAGGTTTACGTATTTGGAGTGAGAATGTTGCTAAATGGTTAAATATATCGATTATTTTGCAACCAAAAACCTAAACAAAAGAGATTTTTAGTGGAAAATTCGAAACGCCCGCAAAAATGGAGCAGCTTTCGGGTGTTATGATAATAATTATCATCGGCGGCGGCGTGCTGACCTTTGTAATGCTCTTCATATTCGCCAAGCGGCAGATAATGCGATTTACTCTGCGTAGCCGCCGCGGCCCCCATGTGCCAGTGGGCACTGATGCCAAAAAGGCGCTGCGTCGCGAAATTGAGCGCAGATTGGACTGCATACAAAAGATAGCACAGGAGCCAAAGCTGCTGTGGACCGATGCGGACAAGTATATTGTGCAGCCAGGTCCTGAGCAAGATTTGCCCCCCTACTACTACCGCATGAAGGCCGTGGATGATGTTAAATTGCTGGAATCGGAGATAGCGCGCGCGGATGGCAGCACACGCCACGCCCACGAAAGCTTACGTGCCTTTCTACTGACTACGCTCTCGGTGACGCTCAACGGCACTGGGCAACGCATAATACATCAATTCTGTGACACTTACGAACACGCTCGCCACGATCCAAATGAATTTGGCAAGGACGAGTACGAGGCTTACCATCACATGCTGCTCAAGCTGATGGAGGCGTAAGTGTGTCGTTAAGCTTTTGGTCAATTTTACTAATACAATGCTCCTGCCACAGTGCCAAGCAACTGAAGAATTATAATTCGAGAAAGGCCTCGCCAGCGCGCACCCCACGCAAACAAAAAATGCACTCATTGCTGGATCCAGCACGCCTGCGTCCGCCACCCGTCGTTGAGCCGCCTAGCAGTGAGCTGACAGCCGGCCAGCATGCGAAAGTCAATATGACACTGGGCCTGCAAGGCGATGAAATGGTGGCCGCCGAACTGGCCACCAATCCGCTGCATTTACAGGCACCCGCCGAACGTGATCTTATCATACGCAATCGCATTAAGACGCCCACGCTAGACGACATTGTGGTCGAGGCGGCGGAGCAGCAACAGCAAAGTGAGACGGCCAACAACAATGGGGAGCATGAGATAATGAGCATCTCATCGGTACAATTTCAACGCAATTCGAGCGTAGTCTAAGGTAAAACTTTATTTGCAGATTTTAAATTATTTGAAACTAAAGTCTGTAAGGGGTTTTCCTACTTGTCGCACTTGTCCTTGTTTTGTTTTTCGACACATTTATCTATCATTTGAGAGAAAACCACAAGATCTAACAGCCGGCAAGAGTAGCCAGTCTCATTGTCATACCACGATATAAGCTTAACAAAATTATCGTTTAGCGCTATGCACGCTTTGGCATCGAATACTGAGGCATAGCGCGAGCCATTCAAATCCGTTGAGACTACATCGTCTTCGGTGTAGGCTAGTATGCCCTTCATATCGCCCCTCGCTGCTTCCTTGATAGCGTCCTTGATCTGATCCATTTTGGCGGCACAGCCAAGACGACATGTCAAATCCACCACGGAAACATTCGGTGTGGGCACACGAAAAGCCATGCCTGTTAGCTTACCATTCAGTTCTGGTATAACCTTGCCAACGGCCTTGGCAGCGCCCGTGCTGGCCGGTATTATGTTGCACATGCCGCTGCGTCCATCGCGCCAGACCTTCTTGCTCGGTCCATCCAAAATCATCTGCGTGGCGGTGCAGGCATGAACTGTCGTCATGAGACCCTCCAAGATTTCAAAATTATCATGCACAACTTTTGCCAGCGGTGCAAGGCAATTGGTTGTGCAAGAGGCATTCGATATGATCTTCATCTCTGGCTTATACTTGTCCAAATTGACGCCACACACAAACATGGGCGCGTCCGCCGAGGGTGCAGATATGATCACCTTTTTGGCGCCCCCATCGATATGCGCCTGCGCATCCTTAAGAGTGGTAAATCGACCAGTACATTCAACTACCGAAGTCACGCCAAATTCTTTCCAACATATTTTTTTCGGATCCATTTCGTTGAGCACCTCAATCCTTTGGCCGTCAATGATAAGCTTCTTGCCATCTATGGAAATCTTCTTGTCTAAAACGCCATGTGTTGTGTCGTAGCGTAGCATATAGGCCATGTACTTGGGTTCCATGGATGGATCATTAATGGCTACCACTTTAACATCCTGTCGCCTCATAGTTTCGCGCAAAAAGACGCGCCCAATCCGTCCAAAACCGTTAATAGCTATTCCCGTCATAATTTCGAAATTAAAAGACCACGAACACTATTTTTTAAAACTAGTTCTTTACACTATACAATTTTTGAAGAGTTTTTCGTTAATTCAAAAAATTTGACGGAGCAACACGAACAGCTATTTGTGTTTTATAAACAAATTTATAATAAAACATTTTCAGCTTGACATTTGTTGCTTTCACTATTGTCAGAGGATATATGATTTGTATTTTGTTTTTCTAGGTTTGGCAAGGGAACTCTGCACCAGGACTAACCTAATAGAAGATAATTAACTTCGCCGTACTGAATATTATTTCGTAATATATATATTATATTTGTTGATCTTAACATAATGGTTTTAAATATAAGCTGCACCATAAGCCAATTTGGCATAGTTTCTTGTAAGGTTCTGTATTTCTTTTTATTTTAGCATGCTGATCAAAAAAGCCAATTCTGTTGGTTTTTAACTTATAGAAAGATGTGTGTTCGTAGTTGAAATAAAAGATGCGTTTACGAATTAGTTATGTACTTGATACCTTATAATATCTTTTGAAAGAGGTTAAAAATTATAAGAAATTCAGGTAGGTATTTACTTTAGTCACCGTTAGTAGTGCTGCTGACGGTTTCTGAGAAATTTTAGGTTGTGTTTGAATTGCTGTTGATTTGTATGATTATTTGCACTAATAGACGCTGTCATTGTTTTATTCTTAATGTTTCCGTAAGTTTGGATGCTTTTCAGAGAGTTGGGTAGGTATAAGAATCTACTGTCAAATTAAGTTGATGTTATGCTTGAATTTTATGAATAGGTTTCTTTAGTATGTGAATGTACAATATCTCGAATTATTCTCATTAAGTTGCTGCTACATAGTAAAAGCTACTGTTAATATTGATATGTAATAAGCTATTAACAAGTTGAGGTTTTGATTGATTTTTTTGTTGATTGAATTTCATTTGATTTGATTTTTGTGTTTTCTAGTTTTGATATTTCCCTATATATGGCTAAGAATGTGCAGTGTTCTTATTGCTTTATAATACCTGAACAAAAAATATAAACTTACTGCTAATATTGCCAGTTGGAAGCATTACAAGAGGTTACGTTTAATTTGATCTAGATTTTATTTTGCGGTTTTTCTGTGGTTTTCTGCTCTTTAGTTTAATAAGTATCCATTGATCACTTTTTAGAAGTAAGTAAATTCATGTTTTTTATTGACAGTTTTGAGTGGAAATTGAGATTATTTTTGATTTTATTTGCACATTCTTAATAGTTTATATTGTTATACAAATGATATTTTGTTTTATAAATATATCTAAGAATGTGCATATTAATGAATGCTTTATATATTATTATACTATTAGTATGTCTAATTGAGTTGAGGTTATGTTTGAGCTTATGTTGATATGGAAATAGCGATATATCCTATTTTCTAGCTCTTACATCTGTGAAAATTGAACGCACACACGCTTTTTGCTGTGGTTACATGCCAATTTTTGATTTACCAAACAAACGGCGCACACATGAAAGGATTTTCCGAAACCTATTACATGAGAGTGTGTATAACAGGTTGGAATAGGGTTGTGGGTTAGTGAGTGTGTGCGTGTGTGTGTGTGTTTGTGTTGTGTAGTTGGTATTTTGGGAATGCTTCTGGCTAAAAGCAGAGCTATTCATGTGTGGTAGCAGCCTGCTATTCACGCAGACAGCGCAAACACAAATCAAGCTGCAAGTCGTAAAATTTTCAGAGGCCGCCTCTCGACTAGATTTGGTCTACAAATTGCTGTTGGCTGTTGCAGCAACGGCAGCAGCAGCAGCAACAGCAGCCTGCGCATAATTAACTGGCCAAGCAAATAAAGAAAGCCAAAGAAAAATTGCCAAAAGAATGGTGCAAAATAACTTGAAGGAAAAGTGCAGACTGTGCGGAAAAGTATGCCAAAAATGCCAAGCAAAAAAGTGCTGCTAAAAATAAATTTCAACAAGTATGCGGCATATTAGCTGTTTAAGACCGCAGGTAATTTCCTGAGAGCTTACAAATTGACCTAAAAGCACTAGAGCTTTGAATCTTGTGGAAAAGCCAGAGAAAAGCCAGCGTGTGGTGCGTGGTACAGATCAAGGTTCCAACTAGGGATTGGTTAGGGATTGAAATTATACATAAAAGTACAGAAAATTACAAAAACTTAGGTAAAGTTTTTCAAAATAGTGCCAAAGATTTGTTTCAATCAATCAAACAAGAAAAGGTTTGCTTCGTAAAGGATAATCAGCTTGTGGTGTGCAACTAGTTTTTATTCAGGATTCTGCTCATAGTCAAGACATTAGAGAACCGGGCTCGGTACTTCCGGCGAAGTTAACCTTCTGCAGGCTATTGCCTAGCCGTTATTGGGCAACAATTTTTGCCAAGCCATTGAACTGGCGCCTTGTTAGTCAGCAACATTTTGTGGGTTCGACACACAGCTGCTTATAAATCAATCGTGTGCGGCCAGCTGTCAGCCCTGGGCCAGAGCAAAAGGTGTTTCAACAAAATGCAAATGCGTATCCACAGGACAACAACGACAACACACAAAATCAGCTGAGTTGCTGTGCCGTGGGCGCTATTACTCACCTTTGTCTGCTAGCTTGCTGCCGCTCCGCTACCTCATGCATAGCTGATGGCCCCCAAGTAGCAACAATTTTCTTGCCAAAATGTTGCCCCAGGAGGGAAGAGGGTGCTTGGGGTTATGGCCAAAAACACTTTGTATGACGACTTGCTCTCAAGCATTTAAATTGAAAGTTTTTGCGTTCGAAGTTTATATGTTCTCGGGTAAATGGAACCTTTTACTTACATCTATGGATTATCAAGTTTACATTGTTTCGCAGCGCTAGCAACTTGTTGCCAAGCACCCGCAACATGTTGCCAAGCGTATGCCAGCAACGACGCCCACACAGAGCTCTCTCTCTCTCTCTCCCGTTCTCTCTCTATTTTCTCACTGTAGCTCTCCTGGCCAAGTCCTGGCCATGGTGAGTTCTGACCCCGGACCTAAAAATGGGGCCGCTGATTACGAAATTGTTGAAGTTAAGCAGCAGCGACCTGAAGTTTGTGCTCATATTATATTCATATCTGTATATTTTAACCACATTCTATTTTGGTTTGGCACTGATCGTAAATTCTGGCTAAATGGAAATTGAAACTCATGCCAGCAGCTGGCATCGGCAGGCCTGTCTCAGGCTCTAGAAAAACAGAAACGGAAATGCATTGCAAGTGCCAAAACGAGTTTGTTGCTTTAAATACGCTTTGTTTTGTGTTAAAATTTATGTGCAAAAGTTTAAAATTGAAAATGTTTTTTCGCCAACTGCAGCGACACGAGCAAAGTTTAGCATTAAAGATTGCATCAAGCTTACGCCAAGGTTAAATTCAAACAAGTTTTTATGCGTTTTTCAAAGTTGCAAGCTGCATTTTCTTTTCGTTAAACGTTGCTCTTTTCATTTCTGGGCTCACAATCGTAAGCGCTCAATTATGGGGGTCAATATACTTCTTGATGCATCAAGAATGGCCATAAACTTAGCATGGTTTTGGCATCAAGTATGTGTAAGCTATATTTTGTGTGAAGAGATTATAGTTAAGTCAAGTTTTCTGCGGAATGAAAAATGCTGGCAAAAAAAATGTATTTCTTAGAAAATATGCTTCAAATGCCAGCAGCTTAGCAGCTTTTTGAAGAAAAATACTTTTTCTTCCCGAATTTATAGTTGGAAGAAAATTCACTTTCAAGGAATTTCCAAAGAGCACATCACATTTTTCTTGGCTAATGCTAGGAAAACTTTGACACAATGATTAGAGCTATTTTTAACAGGCTGAAGAGTTGACACACGCCAAATTCGATGCGAAATTTATGAAGGGGCATACTGAAAAATTCAAGTTAATTTTTGCTTCAATATTTCGCAGAAAACTTGATTTATATAAATATAAAATAAACGCTAATTGATGCCTTCTTTTGTTTGAAGCAGCTTTAGTATCAGACAAGATATTTCCAGTTAGAGTCATAGTATTATCATAAAGAAAGTTCATTCATTCGGTCCAAGCTAAAATATAACTGGGCAAAAAAAAAAAAGAAATGTTATCATTTGGGTTCGATGTTAAATGCGTCTCGTGGGGCTCTTTACAATTTTATTTATGTGCCACTTGTTGTGGATGGGACTTTATATACATAAAAGCGATGAAGGCGGCATAAATAAGCAACAAAATAAATAGTGGCACTTTAAGAGCCAATAACATTAAAGCCATGGCCAATAGCAATAAATAGCAAGGGCAAAGAAAAGCTGTCAGCAGCTTGGGCGCCAGCGTTGACAATGGCCAAATTGTGTTTGGCATAGCTTAGGCAGCTGAACCGATAATCACATTTGATCCTGATATCAGCAGTCGAATGTTGTTTGTTGCTCTAAAATAGCTGCTGATGATGCGCTTGCTGCAAATCAATGAATAATGCAGCAGCAGCAGCAGCAGAGGCAGCAGATGCAGCTGCTGCAATGTAGTTTGCCAAAAAATCAGCAGGCAATCGCATATAATTCAAATTTGAATGCAGCCTGCAACTGAGACTGCGCTACGTTTGGGCTACGAGCTGCAGAGCTTGACTACAAATTGAATTGTCAAACACAATTGCACAAGCCTTAGTTCGGCACAAAGGGAGCAACTGCAGCAGCAGCAGCAGCACAACTGACATCTCTAATTGTGCGCTCAAGTGTACGCTAACAAAATTAAATCAAAGGGTCTATGCAGGCGAGATACATCCCAGAGAATGGCTTAGACCGAGGAGCCAACTGGCCAATTCTTTTGGGCTGCAAAAAACAAACTTGAACATTGCTTTTGGCTGAATTATTGCAGTACATAGGCAACAGAAATGGGCATTCAGTGCAGACAAAATGGCACTCAAAACACAAAACAAACGAGCAGTACGACTAGTCGATACCCTGTACGATAGCACGCAGAGCGACAAGGAGAGCGTACTTAAATGCACTGAGCGAAATTAGTGCTGCTTCATAATTGCATTAAGCATTGTTGCAGCAGTGTACTCCAAAATAGAACAAGAGTTCGTTTTTTATATATGATATTTGTACAAGTTTTTATTAATTGAAATTAGTTAATTTTTTATTTTGAAAATCTTAAATATTTTGCAATGTTTTAATTTATTCGTTTTCGCCCAAAATTTGAGAAATTTAAAAAATTTACAAAATTATTTACACGGCTAATTTAGCTTAAGGTTCGGTTTAAGGTTTTCAACCTTGGTTTTTATACCCTGTTAACAATATGTAAAAGAGCAATGCACATCTATGTAAATATACATAGGTGTAAGATGTATTTTAAAATTATTCTAGAGCCGCGCAAACCGCGAATACTTACCAAATTTGATTGGTAGACTTCTTAAAAGATTGAGTGATAAGCTTT